GTGCCTCTTTGTCGCTCGTTCGCGCGCTCTCGCTTGCACTTCAAGCCTTAAATGGAACGCCTCAGAGCGAGGTAACACCGCACGAGTCATGTTTTTTCGTGCGTGCAGCCGGCCCCATCGAATTATAAGACGTTGTCACGTCAAAAATACCATTCTTGCTAATTGACTGCAACATAAAGCTCACCTAGACCCAAACGGAACGTGCCCACGCGTACAGCATGCGACTTGCGCAATCAGAGCACCCCGGAAACGCGAAATCGGCTTGCTTTAAACTTATCTTTCTTTAGTGAACTAAGAGAGCTACTTAAATAAGTTTGAACCTCCCGTTATATTGAGATTTAAACGCGTAACTGTTGCACTGCTTGACCTTGACATAAATATGTTTACATTGTAATGGAGGAATCAGTAACTAATAATTAATATTATTTAGATTATTTACCTAATAGAAATAGGATACACTTTTATTTTTGTTGTTTTTTTAACATTCTTAGTAGACTGTGCTGTGTGAAGTAACAGAGCAGACAACCCCTCTAGTATTAAGCAGTTGTCGGATACAATGGACATTAGTCGCGTATGGCGCTGTGGGTTGAGTTAGCACCAGTTTCATTATACCATACGTTTCTTTTTTATTGCTTAGATGGGTGGACGAGCTCACAGCCCACCTGGTGTTAAGTGGTTACTGGAGCCCATAGACATTCACAACGTAAATGCGCTACCCACTTTCAGATATAAGTTCTAAGGTCTCAAGTATAGCTACAACGGCTGTCCCACCCTTCAAACCGAAACGCATAACTGCTTCACGGCAGAAATAGGCAGGGTGGTGGTACCCACCCGCGCGGACTCACAAAAGGTCCTACCACCAGTAATTACGCAAATTATAATTTTGTGGGTCTCATTTTTATTACACGATGTTATTCCTTCACCGTGGAAATCAATCGTGAACATTTGCTGAGTACGTATTTCATTAGAAAAATTGGTACCCGCCTGAGATTCGAACACCGGTGCATCACTCAATACGAACGCATCGGACGTCTTATCCGTTAGGCCACGACGACTTCAGATGGTTCAACAACCTCACGGTCCACCAGGTGTTAAGAGATAGAGTTAGAGTTAGAGTCTTTATGTTAGAGTCTTTTGACATTTACGTGTTTGCGTCATGAGGTTGTAGTGTCAATTGTATTGTTTGATAATTGCCACACTTTTCAAACCGGAAGATGTGGCTGTTTCTAGTCTATAAAACTCGGTTTCGGCACTAAATACCCAAATGCCCTGCTGTGAAGATTTGGCGCTATTTTGTCGCACAAGTTTATCGCCAGGCTACATAAGTGAATAGACATGTCTTTTTATTTCTAGATAGATTCGGTAAGAAATAGATATGATTAATGATGTTTAATATTTAATTGTGGGTGAACGAGCTGTATCCCCACCTCGTGTCAACTGGTTTCTGGAACCCGTGGACATCAGCAACGTAAATATGTCACTCAACTTGAGACATGAGTTCTAAATCTCAGTTCTATAGTACTTCTAGCAGAGTATGTACTCTAGCAAGCCACCCCTCCACCTGGCGTATCATCACAGCATAACCATTACATCAAAACTCATTTACTAAAACAACTCGCACTTTTTACTGGCGGTAGCACCTCTTGTGAGTCCGCGCGGGTAGGTCCCACCACCCTGCTTATTTCTGCCGTGAAGCAGTAATGCGTTTCGGTTTGAAGGGTAGGGTAGCCATTGTAACTATACTGAGATCTTAGAACCTATATCTCAAAGTAGCTGACGGTATTTATGTTGTAAATGTCTATGGGCTCCAGTAACCACTCAACACCTGGGCTGTGACCTCGTCCTCCAATAAAAGAAAAAAAAAGGTCCCTGCTGTTCAACGAAGGTACAATGTTAAAATTAACACAAGCGTCTCAATTACAAGAAGTTCCAACCCACTATGCAAATACGTATGGAAATACACAGATCACGTCATTTCGGATCCTCCCGATTCACTAACGGTACTTTTATGTATCTCAAGCACCGGTCATTGTTCTCGTCGAGCCCGTCGAAGGGTTCGGCGAGTAAATTAACCCACAGACACAGCTCACTGAGTTTCTCGTCGGATCATCTCAGTGGGTCGCGTTTCCGATCCGGTGGTAGATTCTGCGAAGCACTGCTCTTGCTAGGGTTAGTGTTAGCAACGTCGTCAGGTATTGAGCCCCGTGAGCTCACCTAATCGTTAGGATGCGCTGACATAGCCTCTCAAAGCTATCAGCATAAGTAGGAAAAAAAAAGAAAAAAAAAAGATAAACACACTCTACATCAATTTTTACATATTATACTTAAAACTCGACAGTGAATTTGATTGCGAGAAGCCAGAGTAATTGCGTCTAAGTTTTAATTCGGCGATCTGATAGTAATACATAGTTTCATTAACAGATAATCTTACCAATGACGGATAATTTGGCTTGGTTTTGTTTGGTGGGATAATTTGGTGGGATAATTTGTATAGGGGATATATTGAAAACGTGTCCACCTGTATACAGAATTGATGTTGGAAGACTCGCCAGAAGAAGACGAGCATCTAAAATGATATGAGCCTAGTCAAGTGTGCTAGGTTAAAAAGTATAAAATTTTTCGTGGCTTAAAAAATATGCAATACCAACAGACCTGGCCACACGTTGCTGTGGCTAAGGTTTTTGTTTCTAAATAACACGTGGCCGACTATGCTAATACCAAAAATTAACGAAGTAAAAACAATTGGATTTCACTGTATTGCGTACTAAGAAATAAATTTCAGTATACTTTAGCCTCAGCAACACGTGGTGTTTATGCCATTAAATTGTAGCTTAGTATGTGAAATGTTTATATTTTGAACACAGCGCCATCTATGAGATATTAATGTCAGACAGTATTACAATTGTCTGTAAAAACTGATTTAAAGCGCCATCTGTTAGAGGCTTATGAAACTTACAATTAATAACATTAATCAACATAAGAAATAATTTTATTGTTAATTAATAAATATTGCGGCCATTAATCGAAATAAAAACCATCCTATGACCTAAGTTGGAACAAAACACATATTTAAAAAAAATAGTTAAAATCGGTTCAGCAGTTTAGGGTGTCCATCGCGGATAAATAACGTGGCACGTAATTTATATAGGTATATTAAGATTTAAATTTTCAGCTATTTGAGTCGACTATTATCAAAGCCGGCAATGTGACTTTTGGACAATTATTGGTAAATCAGAAAAACGAATTATTGACTTTGTATTCCATTGGCAGTCACAAAACTCTTCTGAACGACATCTTAGATAAATAACAGGTTAAGTATTAACCTTTATTTAATGCAGGTTTTGAACCGTATTCTTTGAAAGAGACGATTATATTCAAATCAATCTGTATTGACATATCAATAACATTTTTTTGTCCAAATGCACAGATTGCCACCTTTGATAATAGACGACTCATTTATTTTTATTACTATTTATACAGGAAATATCTCTTTCCTTCTTAATTTAGTAATTCTACCCCAATCTAATAGTTTAGGTCCCTGTTTTTTAAATCTTTCCACTTGCTACTACAGGGCCATCTTATTTGGCTCCCTTTCAGCAGACACTTTTTAATACACTAAGATAGTCCTACTCACTTCTGTGTGCTTAGTGAGAGTTTTTTTAACGTTCACGATAGAGTAAAAGTTAGCCGAATTTTGTATGCAGCTAGAACAGCGCCCATAGCGGCAAGCGTAGGCAAATGATCCCATTCCATACAAATATTAGCTAACTTTTACGCTATCGAGAACATTAAAAAGCTCGCACTAAGCACACTGCCCTCCATATTCGGTACGAAACACTATATTTGGTGTTGACCAACAAGATTTGGTGTTTTTTTAACCACACTTGAGGTTATAAAAACATAGCACATAATATATTATTTGGCTTTCTCACCAATCACGATGTTCGACCAGCCCATACCGTGGGCCCCGAAGGTCAAATACTTAGGCGTCACCCTCGACAGTAGGATGACATTCCGCCCCCACATTAAGACGGTACGCGACCGTGCCGCCTTCATTCTAGGACGTCTCTACCCGATGATATGTAGGCGAAGTAAAATGCCCCTTAGAAATAAGGTGACACTCTACAAAACTTGCATACGCCCCGTCATGACCTATGCAAGTGTAGTGTTCGCTCACGCGGCCCGCATACACTTAAAATCATTTCAAATAATCCAATCCCGTTTTTGCAGGATAGCCGTCGGAGCCCCGTGGTTCGTCAGGAATGTCGACCTCCATGACGACCTGGACTTAGAGTCCATCAGTAAGTATCTTCAGTCGGCGTCCATGCGCCACTTCGATAAAGCGGCACGACACGAGAACCCTCTCATCGTGGCCGCCGGTAACTACATTCCCGATCCTGCGGACAGAATGGAAAGCAGTCGACGTCGCCCAAAACACGTCATCTCGGATCCTCCCGATCCACTAACGGTGCTTTTAGGTACTTCAAGCACCGGTCACCGTTCTCGTCGAACCCGTCGCTTGCGACGAAGGGCTCGACGAGTAAATTAACTCTCAGACACAGCCCACTGAGTTTCTCGCCGGATCTTCTCAGTGGGTCGCGTTTCCGATCCGGTGGTAGATTCTGCGAAGCACGACTCTTGCTAGGGTTCGTGTTAGCAACATCGTCAGGTTTGAGCCCCGTGAGCTCACCTACTAAAGTTAGGGTTACGCTGACATAGCCGCTAGGGCTATCAGCTTAGGTAGGAAAAAAGGCTTTCTCAAGTCATAGACATAGACACAATTAAAACTACTTTTATGGTTTAATCTCACCTTTTTCATTGTCATTGTATTATTTCAGACGTTTTAAATAGGTACTTGAGTTTTTGTAGTCATGAACAACTATAGCTAACATAAAAACATTGATATTACACTTAATATTTGAGTGCCGTAAAAGTAGCTTTAATTATGCGTAAATAATATATTTTATTAAAATTTAATAATAGAAATTACATATTCACTGAATATATTTTATTTAGCATTATTTTAATTTAAATATATTTCCTACATCACCACCCAGTCCTGTATTATTATGTTCGAACATTTTTCCAAACAAAGAGTTGTACAATTCATTCGTGCTTTCTTCGGTCCATGTTAAGCACTTCTCAGGTGCCATGTAATTAACTAGCTGATTGTGTACTACATATTTAATCTTCCGCCCTTTTGTAGCTTTAGTATCCACTTTCCTTTTCATTTTACTCCTCATTTGCTGTAGAGCTATCCATTGTCTGCTCAGCTGAACTGGATCAGATATGTCAGCAGACTTACATTCAATTAGCTCTCTTAATAACTGATGGTAGAAATCATTATCATCAAATATTTCAGGTATGTATTCATCATCATCTTTCCTGTTCTTGGTTACGTTTTCCGAGTCATTTTCGTTGTTAACAGCTTTACTATAGCCAACTATATCATACTCTGTTCTTTTTAATTGTGTTCTTCGTATTAATTTATCTCTGTCAGATAAGATATATGAAATTTGTTGCAGAACTGTGTTCGTTGGAGCATTTTTAATGTTCGATGCTGTAGCTAACCTAGTTTTTTCATTCCATTTCTGAATAGATGCATCTCGGAACGGTTTGAAGGCTTTATGAGATATTGAAATTTCTTTTTCATAGTCATCTAGTTTACGTTTCTTTGGAAGGTTTGCTGGTACATTGGACTTTTTCGATTCGTTTGTATTTTTAGATACAGGAGATTCATCTTCTTCGGTGTCAGATGGAATTTCTTCATCTTCAGTGTCACTAGGTATTTCTTCATCGCTCTCTTGTTTCTGTTCCACTTTCGATGGAGCCGTTGATCGTTTGTTGGTGGTTAATGTTTTAGTTTCTGGGTAATTATTGAATAGTATGTTTTGCAGTGTTAAGAGTCTGAAAGAAGTAATGTAATTATAAATTATGGCAATATATGCATACTGGTGGTAGGACCTCTGTGAGTCCGCACGGGTGGGTACCACCACCCCGCCTATTTCTGCCGTGAAGCAGTAATGCGTTTCGGTTTGAAGGGTGGGGTAGCCGTTGTAACTATACTGAGACCTTAGAATTTATATCTCAAGGTGGGTGGCGCATTTACATTGTAGATGTCTATGGGCTCCAGTAACCACTTAACACCAGGTGGGCTGTGAGCTCGTCCACTCATCTAAGCAATAAAAAAAAAAAAAAAAAAATTTATAAAAACTTAATGATGATCATTTAGTATTATTTATCGTTTTTACACACCAAAAACATACTCTGGTTTGTATGCCAACCCTTTCACGGTATAGGGATTTTTATATTTAATACATGGTGATATTAAAATGATCATCAATACAGCAACGTAATATATCATGAGACATGAAGTCAAAAACTCAATTTTTATATTAATAGGCTATCCCAGCATGGAACACATGAATGCTTCATATAGGAAATAAGCATATTAGAAATATATAACAACACACATTATAGGTCCTAACACTAATAACGCATATCCACCAGTAGTGTAAAAATTAACCAAAGTAAGTAAAAATTAACCAAAGTATTAAGTATTGAACTGGAAATAATGACTAAAGTAATTTAAACCGAAACATACAAAAAAATATATACTACAATGGTTAATCAATCAAGAAACAGACAATAGATTACGTTATATAGACTATAAATGTTTAACAGCATATGAAAAATCGAGGATTTTCATTCCGGCCATGGTGCTCACCAATGAGCCTTATTTTACTAAGCCTGTGAGAAATGTGAGGGTGCCAATGTAAGGGCTTCCTACAAGCCACAGATTGCAGCTATCTAACAAAACGCATATGTAATTGACCCGCTTGGCCCTTTAGCTGAACTGCTTTTCAAATCCAATAGAAACTTTAGTTTTTGTCAAGGTTATAGCCTTTTAAAATATCATAAAAACTAGATGCTAAATCTAATAGATAATAAAAAAGTCACGAATTTTTTTTCTTCCGTGCAAATTATCCCTGTTTATAAATTTTAGAATGTAAATCTTGAAAATTACTAATTCCCTGATATTGGCTCGGCCCAAATGTTATAGTACATTACTGGTGGTGCACTATTAATAATACATTGTTAAAGAAAATACAATAAATAGATATATACCGTTAAATATAATATGAAATCACCATATGATTTGATTCCAATATACTTACATACACATAATAAATCAACAGTATGCAATATACTTACTTATCTAAAACTGTAGCTACATTTAACTTTGTATTATTACTTTCTTCCACAAATTCATTGCTGTTCTTCAGTTCATTACATGTCTCTGGCATTGGCATTTGATTGGCACTATTCACACATCTCTGCAGGTGTATCCTCATCTCCAACAGCCCTTCCCAAACAAGGAGTTGATTTCTTACACAGTTACCTTTCTTTGCTTCCTCGGAAATATTTTGTCTTTTTACATGTTGGAAATCCTCAACTAGCGGTTCTTCTAGTTGACTTATATCATAACCTTCATCTTCATCTTCATCATCATCATCGCTAACATCATCATCCAATTGCGTTTTTGTCTGAAATTTGGTAATACTATAATCATCACTTTCTCCATCTGATGAATTATCAGAGTCAGTATCTGGTGCTTTTGTAAGTTCATCATCTGTAATTTTTTCTTCAGGGGTTCCGTCTTTATCATCCTGACTAGTTTTATCATAGTCACTTTCATCTCCGGACTCATCACTGTCATCACTAAACTTACTCAAATCTTTTCGCGTTATTACTTGACCTTCGTACTTTTTACTGACTTCGCTCAGTAAATTAACGTTACGTTTACGAAAATCACTGATGGCTGCTTCGTCCTCGCTGTCCGAAGATCCTAAATCGGCACGTGAAACGGTTTGTGGTTTCGTGCCAAACACTTGGTCGTCTTCGATATCCACTCGTGGTTTTAGTGTTAGTGCGTCAGCTACTTTGTCAGATAACATTATTTTCACCGATTTCTTAGTCTTTGCTTTCATTTTAATTTAAATAGTTTTTTTTTTATTTAAAATTTAATTAAAATTATAAAATAATACATGTATTCCTAACCAAAAATACACAGCGTGATATTGACATTTATGACAGTGGCAGTTTTATTTTTTCAATAGAAAAAGGCGAAGACTTTATTGCCCGATTCGTCTAGACCTCCCAATTTTATTATCTCAAAAGGCATCTTCATAAACGAACAGTTTAAATTTCACACCAAACACTCATGCATTCAACAAGAGCACCACCATATGGAGCTCATCTTAGTAAATAGACCTAGATCCGCCCCACGGGAGCCCTCTTTTTCGTAAATTATTTACGTAAGTCTTGTACTTAATTTGAAGTTGAAATAGATGAAATAATGCAGTACATTAGGAATTCTAAATAGATCACTTAGGTGTTGGATGTCATAAGCTCTGCGTAAAATTGTGATAAATGAAATGTAATAGTTCAGTGGATTTTCTCGAAGAATTCTAAAACCTATGTCCAGTGATTTTATTTTATTTTTATAGTTTTGACCTTTGTTTTAAAAAATACGAATGTTTAATTTTAGCTCCCTTACCCGCCAAGTAGACAAGTTAACAAAAAAAACTATGCCATTGTCAAATGTCAATGTCAACTCGGATTGTTGTTGCGTTTCGGCGGGAACGTGCGGAGAAAATATTTTTTAGATTAGTTGTCCATCAATGACTTTATAAATTTAAAATTAATGTAACAATATTCAGAGAATGTTTCAAATAGGTTATTTTTATTAAAAGAACTTAATCTTCAAATACATGTTAAAAAGTATATTTTCTGTCAGTATTTGGTATTTTCATATTCCTTATTTTTACTTTTAGGAATGTTAGTGAATATTAAATTGACATAAGTTAATTTAGAATATTAGTTCAAACAACTTCTCACATTTTGAAACCCTTCTAAGTACGCAAATATGAATACCAACACTACAAAATCTGGTACTCCACAAACTCCATCCAGCCTATTAAAAAAATTAAGCAGAGTATCCATATCCGAACAGCGCGATTGGAGTGTAACAAAGAATGAAGGATCAAAATTGCTCCTAAAGAGAGCTATTTTAGCAGAGAAAACGGATAAAAGTTCTCCAAAGAAAACAACCCCTAAATCCAAAACAAAATTATCAGAGACACCTAGAAGCTCCAAAAAAGTAAGCCAAAGAAATCTTGAGGAAGTGCTGTTGATGGAATTACAAGAAAATTCGGATGATGAATTACCAACTTTAATAATAAAACAGCATACTCTCACAACTCCGAAAAGAAAGCAGTCATTATCAAAAATTAGCGATGACACTCCTAAGAAGATCTTAACATTCAATGATGAGCAAAAAGGTACTTATGCAACAAGATCAGGACGTATAACCAAACAACCAATAAACTATCTAGAAGGTGAAATATCACCAGTGAAACGTACCCCCAGAAAACCTGTCAGAAAGTTTTCGGAGAGCGATGATGACTTTACACCTTTAAAGACACCAAAAACACCTAGTACATCGAAAACACCAAGAATTACAAAAACACCTAGATCCCAAGCAAAGAGTGTATCCAAAAGAATATTAGTTAATCAATTAACACCAACCCTACGTGCTAGGATTCACTCAGTTGACAATATTTGTGGTGAGCATTTTAATTACACTTAATTAGTAATTTTATAATTACACTTCATGCCACTGAATATGTTGCTAGTTCAAAATAGCATACCCCAATATCACTTCATGTAAAAAAACTGAAGCTATCAATAACATTTTTTAATCAGCACTCTGTTATGTTTTTAATTCCTTGTAAAAAAATATTTCAGATTATGTAAATGAGAACAAAGCATTGCCAGGCAGAGAAAGTCAAATGGATGAAATTCTTTCATTTGTTAGATCAAAACTTTTAGATGGGACTAGTGGGTAAGATACATTTCTTTATTGTTTATTGTACTAATTCTCTAGTTACTTCCACTCCTGATGGCTCAATAGCACTACCTCTTTAAGAAGCCAAAATGTTATAATATAATTCAATTTCGCAAATGACGTTTTTGTTTCAACTTGTGTATTAAAAAATTCAATGTTTGTTTACTCTGTAATAGAGCAATCTTTGATATTATAATTTTTAAAGAACCAAAATCTCGTCCATGAATTTGTCACTCTGTTAACAGTGGTATCAAAGTAACTATTACTAATACTCTCATAATGCCCTACCACCATAAAGCTTGACAATCCCACAGGTGCATATACATATCAGGAGTACCAGGTACAGGTAAAACTGCAACAGTGTCTTCAGCTCTGCAGATCTTAAAAAAAGAAGTTAATCTACCAGAATTCCAGCTGGTTGAGGTCAACGGCATGAGATTAGCTGAACCAAGGCAGGCCTTTGTTCAGATATACAAACAGTTAACTGGTAAAGAGCTTATCAAAAAATTTATATGTATAAAATTAGATTTTTTTTAAGTAACTCTCAAATTTTTTGGCACTTAAAAAAATTTATTTCCTTTCAATTTCACATTTTCTTACATGCCTTGTACTTTGCCTTCAAACAAGTTGTATCAAGAACCATTACAAAAGTTTATAAAAGGATAAACCTTTGTTATTGTCTTGTTTTATCATAAACTATAACTCACCTTTAGGTTAGTTTGAATAATGTGAGTAGAACTATTGAAAGTAAACATTGGCAACAAGAAACTAAGCTAACTAATTTAGTCTCTAAAACAGTTCTTGTTGTAACTGCTTTGAAGCTAGGACCTTGCATTAAAATACTATCGGCAAGGTTATTCATAGCATATAGGTATAAGCTTATAAGCAAGACTATAATACTATTCAAAAAATGTCTACAGGTAAATCAGTAGTATGGGAGCAGGCTTGCTCATTACTTGAGAAGAGATTTACTAATATGGGCCCAAGAAGAACCCCTACTGTTTTACTTGTTGATGAAGTAAGTACATTTGTAAATACAAATAATAATTAACTTAATCAGGAATACAGTAATATGAAATATAATTGACTGATTTAGTAATTAGTAAGTACCCTTTAGTAGCCCAGTAGGGGCTGGAAATCTATTTTGGGACGAGGTGACCATATGCATTTAAAAAAATCTCAATACTTTTAAAGTATTTTTAAAAAAGGATTAGAAAATACAATATAGTAATTGGCATGCAATGCGCCGTCTTTAAAAGATTAGACTCCTCTGACTCAAGTCAATGTACCAACATTTACTGCAATTACAAACACTACTCTGCAAGTCTGCACTTCTAATTATACAATTCACTTTGCAGTTGGATGCTCTGTGTACCAGAAGACAAGATGTTCTCTACAGCATAATGGAATGGGCGTCTCATAATACTGCTCTACTCACAGTGCTAGCCGTGGCCAACACAATGGACTTACCGGAGAGAGCATTAGCATCTCGTGTGGCGTCGAGACTGGGTCTAACCAGACTGACCTTTCCCCCTTACACTCACACACAGCTTCAAAAGATAGTGGCTACTCGACTAGCTGGAGCTAATGTTACTCCTGATGCTGTGCAGTTAATCGCAAGGTATCTGTCTGTAATTTTTTAACTACTTGTTTCTATGATTTCACTACCTTTTTTTTATTACTTTGATGGGTAGACGAGCTCAGCCCACCTGATGTTAAGTGATTACTGGAGCCCATAGACCATCTATAAAGTAAATGCGCCACCCACCTCGAGATATAAGTTCTAAGGTCTCAAGTATAGTTACAACGACTGACCCACCCTTCAAACCGAAACGCATTACTGCTTTACGGCTGAAATAGGCAGGGTGGTGGTACCTACCCGTGCGGACTCGCAAGAGGTCCTACCACCAGTAATTACGCAAATTATAATTTTGCGGGTTTGATTTTTATTACACGATGTTATTCCTTCACCGTGGAAGTCAATCGTGAACATTTGTTGAGTACGTGTTTCATTAGAAAAATTGGTACCCGCCTGAGATTCGAACACCGGTGCATCGCTCAGCACGTATGCACCGGGCGTTTTATTCTTTAGGCAACGAAGACTCCGTATGATTAGTATGTTAATAAAATATATTTAAGGAAAGTCGCTTCGGTATCTGGTGACGCTCGTCGTGCCCTCACCTTGTGCTCGCGAGCGCTAGAGCTGGCCGGACCTGAAGGCGCCGGGCTGAAGGAAGTGCAGCAAGCACTAGCCGAAGCTGCTTCTAGCGCGCCCGTTAGAGCCATCAAAAGCTGCTCCCCTGCTGAAAGACTCATGCTCAGAGCTGTAGCTGCTGAGGTATGTTATAAAAATGATATATATGGATATATGTCGGGGAAGGTGCTTAGTTTGGTAGCAAAACGAAGCGGAGCACGATTCCTGATAGGTGGCAACCCGATCGTAATGTCGTTGAAACTCGGCTAACTTCGTGCTACGACAGAGCCTAGCCTCCTTGAAGAGGAGGAGAGGCCCATCCTAAGAACTGCCATTCGTTTTGTTTGCTAACGTCAAGATAAGACTACCAAATTGTTATAAGACAGTAAACGTGTTTTGTGTACTTGCGCTTACTGTATCTGACGATGGTATCAATAATGCGGTCGCTCCTACATATATTTTGTATAAACTTTATTGATCGTGATGTTTCCTTCTTTATCGTTTCATTCTATACAGAATGGTTATAATAGTCGTATAGTGTTGAAGGGCAGACTTTATGAGTCTCACGATGTCTCGTCATTTCTCCCTGCTGTTACGGCACTCTTTTACGGGACCACCCGTCATGGTGTTTCGAATTACAAAGCAAAAATATAATATAACAAATAGAATATGAATTATCACAGCTTTTTGTAGCCATTTCATTTTGACATTTTCAGGTCGAAAGAACAGGGTCGGATGAAACTACTTTATCAAGAGCTCTGGCAACTGCTGCTGCCATCATAGCACTAGACGGGCGCCCATACAGATCTGCACCCAACATTCGAGCTCCCACGCCCTCACAAGCGCAAGCTATATGTGCTAGACTTGGCGCTATGAGATTATTGTTATTGGAGCCTAAACCGACTGAGCCCAGGCTACTGTTGAATGTTAGTCCCGATGACGTGCATTACGCGACAAGACAAATAACCGCCTAGAATTTCGCAGAAAATTCTAGTAACATTTGAAGATTTCTCAGAGATTCAAGCATGGTACCTGACGTAGAATTGAAATCGGTCAAATCAAACTACTTGAGGTTTTAATAACATAAAAATGTCAATATTTATTTTCTTTTGCTAATTATTAAATGTGATCAGTTTGAGCTGTGGTAACACAAAAATTTAATTTAAGATATAATTTTGTTGAATGTGGAATTTAATGTGTGTGTAAACAATAATTACTGTAAGTGAAAAATCTGTGCTGGTCACAACGCCATTAATGATAATAAATTAAGAATGACATTAAGAGATTTTTTAAGGAGCGTTTTATTGGATTCCGAGGAAACATGGATTTTGTTTGTCCCCACAGAAGTATTATCTGTTTCTTCATTCAGCAATGAGGTGGAAAAACTTTACATGACATGTTGTATTTCATACTGTGATCTATTCCGACTATGTATGACTTTTTTATGATGATTGTAAGATTTTTTAGATTTTAGAAATGCCCAGCAAATAAGTTACAATACTAAAGTTTAAGATGAAAATTAGATTTCGACTTTTTTAATATTATTATATCCCTTTCTCTACTAGTCCACTACTAGGGACGGTGCGAGTCGAAATAAAAATTAAATACCTATTCAGCAACATTTCTAAGCACCCGCTTTTTTATCAGATAGATAAATAAAACACGGTTATCACGAATAATGTTTAATATAAATAAAACCACTTAGTGTATACATTTTTTATTTACTAAATCAATATGAATAGAGGCCAATAATGCGCGTGAATTTCGAATATTGATCAATATATTTATTTATTAGGTTACTATTATAGCGACTCTCCGACTTGAATGATTTTAATCAGCGCTTCCACGTTATTTTCCTTCACTGCATTCCTACTTGCGCTTACAACAGCCTTGCTGTATTTACCCACTGAAAAAAAAAAGAGTTCATAAGAATTCCTACCTTTTTGCTAAATGAGTGATGGACTTTTTGGCGGGAACGCGAGGCGCCAAGCAGTGCTGCCAACTATAATTTACTGTTTAGTACCAGTTAGTACCTTACCTGCGAAAGTTCATAAATGTGGTAAAATGAAACAAAGCTACTGGACGAAGCTTCTGGGTTTCTTCCAAAAAGTCTACCGAAAGTGTCAATATACAACCATCTTACTGAAACTGTTTCGTTCCATCCATCTCGTTTCATTTAACTTCATACCAATTGATTAAAAGTCTTCAATTAATAAACTTCATCAGGGTCATCATTTTTGGAATACAATAAAGCTCCGACCAATATTGTAAAGGTAAAATTGAAATAAATATAAAATAATCTGACCTCTTAAACGCGCCGCCTGTTGTAAAATAGTATGCAAAGTTTTGAGTGAAGCCACGGCATGTTCTTGTGTAGCGCGTCGTACGTGGCATGCTGCTATGAGTTCTTCGTTTAACATCACCACCTCTTTATACCTATTCAGCATTTCTTTCCTAGAATTATTAACGTTTTTTATTAGATTCGGTTCAAGGGAACGCTAATTTTGACGTTTACGTCCGAATATTTATCCTGTTTGCCTATAACGTTCTAACGACTAAAAAAATGTAGATTGTGTACTTATCTAACATACTTGTGCATCGCACTCTGCGAATGGTCCAAATAAAGAAACCGGCCCCCTGATCACGTAAAAATTTGCGACAGCCACAATTTTGCAGATGTTGTGCAGACGCGTCGCGACCGATCGCAAAACGTCAAATTATTTCGTATCACGTACCGCGATTGTTCGCTTACCGCTTACTGCAGTTTTTTGTCATACAACTAGCGCCAGTCGCAATCGGGTAGCAATAATTGGCACTAAAAAGCCACATAACTTTTTTTTTTTGCTGAACAATCCGGCAAATGAATTTATAAAAGCGCGTTACATATAAGCATTTCAAAATGTTTAAGTGGAATTCACGTTTGAGACGCCAAGTGAGAGCTGCTAATTCTGTTCTTTTCGATGAAACGTTACTAAAAATAAGTGATCTAATAATAATTTTTGCTTTATTTTGAATAATAGCTATAAAAATGTAATTGTGTCCTGTCAAACACTGATAACATTTTTTTTTGTAATCGTTTGAGAATTTGTAATCAGATAGTTGTTTACTTTACGTACCTATTTTAAAAAAGAATGGATCAAAATTATAGCCTAATTTATTAATTTCATTATAAATTAAGTAAGTACGCTCACAACCCATCTAGTGTTAAGTGGTATAGACCTCACAACGTGAATGCCGCCCCCCCCTTTAGAAACGAGGTCTGAGTTTCAACTGTATACCAAAACGGCTGCCCCATTCTTCAAATTGCAATGCATTACTGTTTTGCGGTAGAAATGGGCGGAATGGTGGTCTTGCGGGTTAATCAAACGCCCTACTGCCAACGATTTCTTGAAGAATATTTGCGAGTTTGATTTTAAATAAAAGATGAATGAATCCTTAATCGTGGAAGTCTTCCATGTATATATGTCAAATACATGTTTCATTGGATTTATTGATATCTGCCTGCGGGATTCTAACACTGGTTCAGTCGCATCTTTATTAGCTTAGGCCACGACGATTTCAAATTAAATAGTAAATTCTAGAATAAATGAGTTAGTTTTATGGTTTTATCAATAATAACGTGTACAACAGATCCATTTCACGCCGACATGAGGCTGACAACGCTAGAACAACCAGTCGACGATATTCTAGGCGAGATGCTGCTATTCTTTATCAAGTAATAGATAGTGGATTTGTTTGACTTGGCAAGGGTAGGCTTTGGTATGAATACCAGAAATATAGTGCACTCTTTCACAGCTTGAGGGGAAATAAAAGCTGTGCAGACTATTCAAAACAATGTTCACCTAAGGTCATGGTCATGGGTCATGGACGTGAATAGGAAACTGCATGTCAGAGACATTAACTTAATGTTCTATATTATTTTTAAACAAATGAATCTCATATTTTAAGACAGTAAATAAATATTTATTTTTATAATTAGCCCAGTTTTTCGTCGACGAAGCCATCTTAAGAGAAGCTTCATTGCAAATATCAGGCCGATATTTAGTAATTATTTTTATTCAATAACCAGGTACTCTTTGCACTCACTCACTGCAGTAAGAATGTTAATCAATCATTATATTATCTAGACTCTAGCGGACAACAAACAAGAGTAGACACATCGTGGGGAGAAAATGGAAACTAAGGCGAACCACTGGCTCATGCAGCTTTCATTTCAGCAAAGGCTGCTCGTACGCAGGCAGAGGCCGCGCATCTTCCAGCTAAGATATATGTATCTCAGTTAAGAAAATTCAAGGAATTGACCAATATCGGCAAAAACCTTGCTTAAAATAATAAGTTCAATTTTGTTTTAATTTTAGCTGAGTCCGTAATAGTTTATATTACCATAAAAATAAAATAGCGCTTGTTACTTAACAATAGTCTAGCAAATCCAAATATATACGTTTTACTTTAGGCTGGTACTACTGTAAATTTTATGAAACTCATGAGTACGCTAATAAAACTACTCTCAACTTAGCATTTCAAAATGACTATTTATTTTTTTATTGCTAAGATGGGTGGACGAGCTTACCCACCTGGATTAAGTGGTTACTGGAGCCCATAGACATCTACAACGTAAATGCGCCACCCACCTTGAGATATAAGTTCTAAGGTCTCAGTATAGTTACAACGGCTGCTCCACCCTTCAAGACGAAACGCATTACTGCTTCACGGTAGAAATAGGCGGGGTGGTGGTACCTACTCGTGCGGACTCACAAGTGGTCCTACCAGCAGTAGAATACCAGTATTTAGCTTCATTGTATATTTTGTATTCACAGTATTTGGCATGTTCTGCTTCTAGTCCATAGGGTTACAGAGCTATCACCTTGCTATCATCCTACTTACCTCGGCCCCAAGTTCAGTTATATTTCTTTGAAGTTATTGGAACAGTCGATATTATATTTCAATTGTGGCTTCAATTTCATGCGGCAAGAAGTTGGACATGTATTACAAACAAACTACGATTTCCTAATTTAAGAATTATTATTCAAATAAAACAAAATTACACAAAAATAATAATTATCAAACTTATCACAATGAACAAAAATCAGTGGTGGTTGATCCACATTTTGTCTAAATTATGAATTATGTTTTTCATTTTGTAAGTAATATTCATGTAAGTAAGTATCCAACAAAATCTAGAAGAATTATGAATGTCTAGTCGATTTGTTATTCATTCTATTCTATTATTTAAAACAGCAGTATATACAATAATATATTTAACAACACAACATACAAACGGGGTTAACATAAAGATAAAATTTAATGATACAGAACAAATTGAGCATGACAGATTAAAACATGGTCTTAATAAAACAACCTCACAATTTTGCTTTCATCCTTTACTATAAACACAAAAATGTTAAGGAAATATGTATATTTCCACTAAGCACAATTAAAAAATTATAAGCAGAAATAATTAGGCTATTCTTGCCTTCTCATTTCACATAATTAAGAACAGCAGTTTTAAAAATATCTACATAAAATTACTAGAATACAGAGGTTGGACTAAATTTAATGTCTATCCTCCACAATCCAATTGAACCACCCTTGAATGTTGACATGGTGCTAAGTGCTGTGTTTTCTCTTTTCTCCCAAAAAATACAATGTTATGAATTTGATAAGAAACATCAATTTCAGCATCTTCGTCACAGAGTTGGGGCACTGGAAACCCATGTGTGTTTGCCATGTTATGCAATACAAGCTAACAATTATGGTCTTGGCCATCATATGATCATAATGCAGTACTCTATGTGCCAACAAGCATCTCCAACTGGCTTTCAATACTCACAATGGTCAACAGTGTTCCTGGTATGACAATAAACATTACTATAGTACTATATATTAACGGCCTTCCCAGTTTTAAATATACTTTTAGATTGAGTATTATTTTGTAGTCAGGTTACTGAGACAGAGCTCATGATGTTTTACTTGCCTAAAAACCAAACTTTTTCACCATTATGGTGCAGGTCCTGCATAGGCATATTCAGTTCAGTGTTAAGCCAGACGAATGTATCATGAAATGTTGCATCAATACTTAAAATGTTAATATCACAGATCTGAAAAATTTTATTCTTTAGATAAGTACTTACTATCAAATATTTGTTATTGTGAATGATAGGCTTCAGCAAAATACTTACTATTTGCACATTCTTGAAATGATAATGCTTGCGGTTCTAAAACCTTTCTTCATATACAGAAGATCTGATAAGTGCAAATGAGTGCCATCTATACACCCCGAAACCCCAGGAAAGCCAAATTTATTGTAAAACCTATAATGAAAAGAAATTTATTTACTATTATATTATGTTTTCAATCACAAAATTATTATTGTTGAAATATCTAT